TTCGCTCAATTTAATCGCAAGAAAGGGCAACTCGTATCACATTTACTCGATCAAATGGCAAATGTAACAGGTGTTGATGAAAAAACAAGGAAACATTGTGAACTACGAGGTAAAATTCTTTTCTCAATCGAATTCGACTAATTTTCTTCATCATAGGTTTTCTCGTTGTTTCCATGGATAATCATACTTTTGTTACTAAATACTGTACGATCGTCGATGGAATCTTTCGTATACATAAATCCCGTTTGAGCGAACAAACGGATCATGAATTGTGCTTGAAACGTTGTAAATTATCCTTTCCTGAAGAACGAACACGTGATATTCAGTTTGCACTGATCGATGAACAAGGCGAAACTATTTTCATTCGTGGAAATAATATCTACAGCATGGGAAGGCTATTGAACACATTAGCAAAATACGTCGAAATCAAAGGTAGTTCACAATTTGTCTTTACAGCAGGTGGAAGTACAACATCGACTCCATTGAGTAAACATCGGCAATCGTCGATAAGTTCGTCTCAACCCCATATTTATTCCGACGTTGATAGTTCGTCAGGAACGATAAATTGTCCATCGAATGGTAAAAGTATTGAACAGAATCATATTCATCTTCGAATGATGTATTTGCCTTTTTCGAATAGAAATTTATTCGTCGTCAAGTACTACGAAATCGATTCCTACTCCTCAACCTTCAACACCAATCATCAAAGCAACTATCTATCATAATGCATCGAAATTACATAATAATGACGGTGATGATGGAACATTAATTGTACCTGTACGTCGATTCACGAATGGATCAAATGCGACACCAATTAGTGAAGCATATGATCAACCTAAATCTTACGATAATGTGGCGGTTATGTCTACGCCAGTCGATCGGAATAATAATCATGTTGTTGTTCCGTCTCAACGACGCGATAAAATCAAAAACCATGATCAACATCAGTAAGATGCTGTGACAAGGCAGTTTTGTTTTGTATAAGAAAGGTTTATTGAATTTAGACGTTCTGAATCTCATTCTTCTCGACCCAATGGTCAGAATTCTCATCGTGCAAAATCAAAATCATCTCGCTCAAACAACGAACAGTCTTCCTCTCCTGAAAACACCGTTTTCTGTCTACGTGTATCGGACAATTCCTCCGCTCAACATCGACATGCTCGTCATCGTCCGAATGCAGTGCCACATCGTTCACCTATCCCCAATACACCAACAGAATATGTTAATAAACTTGCAAATCTCTTCACAAAACCATTTGCATCATCGACCATGTCAGTTCCACAGACACCGAATCTGAATGAACACCGTACTCGTACGCAAGCCTATGATACCGTTCCATCCTCCCCAATACCAGTGCCTCGTTTTACACACAGTCAAACCCAATCGCCATCTGACACAACCGATGAGCAACGCATTCAATTTCGAGAACAAGTACGTAAAACTTCATACAAATGAATGATTTGTTGATTTGTTTGTTTCAGCCGAAACCAAAACGTATCTACGATATTCCAATAACTATTGAACGTTCAACTAAGTGTATTGTTACTCCATTTGATCAATATCAACGACCAACGATACGAAATGCTCGATCTGTTGAACCATTACTTTCATCTGCAATGACAAGTCAAGATGATGGTGACGAAGAAACTCCGTATGCTCAAGGTTACGATAATCTAACAAAAAGCGAAGGAATTGGCAAATTTCGTTTCGTCATTCCATTCAATCATAGTCCTACGTCTGCTTTCATATCATCAAAACCGACACCAAAATCTATTAGTTCGTCATTTATGACAATGCGACCACCCTCATCGATCCGAAATGCAAATATAAACAACAATAACAATTCGAGTACACGTTCGACATTGATGACGGCAGTCTAAACTATCAGTTCTGTTTTGTTTGTTTTATCTTTCAAGTACTGAGCTCGTTTTTATATTTGTAACAGTATCCTCATTTATACATATGTTCTTTTTCTCCAGTTTTCATTCTTTCGTTTGACTTTCTTTCTTCATGGATATTTCACGGTAGAACTGGTGTTTGCACTAGTTCTCCTTCAGGTTCTTTTTTGTTTATTATCGACACATTCGATGTTGATGTCATGTACATTGTGACTAAGCAAGAAAAAATCAGAATGATACATAGAAAAGCGAAGAAGGAAAAGAAAGAAATCGATTTCCGGATTTCATTTGTTAGCTTTTTTTGTTATGCGTATCTTTGTCAGATAGATATTCTGGATTTGTGACAAAAAAACAATGATTGGAACAGTTAGAGGATAACGCTCATGTCCGGTTATTGTACGTTGATTGTTTTTATCATTTCATTTGAATAAAAGACCGTCTTTGTTCTTTTGTAGTTTTTTATCTCAAAAGAAATTTAGATTATCATATCTAAATATGTTTCAGATCGTTTGTGTCTTTTTCACGGATAAGAATTGATATGGTAAGTGTCGGAATAGTTGTTTGTCTTACGCTATGCAATGCTGAACTGATCACATTTGTTTAGATTCAATTTATTCTTCTGTTCAGTCGACAGGGGAAACTTCGTTTACAAAAATGGTACACACCGCAAACGGAGAAGTCGAAGAAGAAGATCACACGTGAATTGATCGCGGCAGTTCTTTCACGTAAACCAAAAATGTCAAGTTTTCTCGAATGGAAAGATCTGAAAATAGTCTACAAACGGTAAAAACGCACATTCTCTTCCAGTTTGATGTGGACATCTCTACTGTCATTCAGATATGCTAGTCTTTACTTTTGTTGTGCGATTGAACAAGACGATAACGAACTATTAACATTGGAAACCATTCATCGTTATGTAGAACTGCTCGATAAGTACTTCGGCAGTGTAAGTGAATGTGAATATCATCTTGTTTAACTATGAAATTGTCGATAGGTTTGTGAATTGGATATTATTTTTAACTTTGAAAAAGCCTATTTCATCTTCGATGAATTCATCCTTGGCGGGGAAATTCAAGAAACAAGTAAAAAAAGCGTTCTGAAAGCTATCAATGATCAAGACATCATTCAAGAAGTAAGTTTTGCATTCGAAAATCCTTTTCTCATGATCGATAGATTCGAAATTCCAAATTATTTTCCTCTCAATGAACGACATCTAAAACACGCTTTGCAATGTATCATTCCTAGGATGATCAACTTCAAGAAACACTTTATGAATACGGATTGATTTGATTTTCCTCCTTATAAAGATGCTTGCTCTTGAAAATAATCCAAATTCTCCTTTTCTTCAGAATAAAATTTCAGTACGATAACTTTTCCTTCTCTCCGCATTGAGCCATGCTTTCTCGCTTATTTCCTTTTTGTATCTATCTATTTCTAGGAAGAAACACCACAGGGTTTCTTTGAAGATCATGGTCTTGGATAAGCATATCCAGCTCTGATGATGATTTGACATATAAAGACACGCACGCTTCATTTTGCATGTGTTTTGTATTTGGAATATCTTTCGTTGTGTTTTTCAGTTTTCATGAACAATTCGCGTTTATTATTTAGTCAGATTCGGACTTTTTCAGAGAATTCTCTTCTTCTTCTTCTTCTTCTTCTTCATAGTGTTGTCTTTAGCAACAGTTGCATCTCGGAGTTTTCCGTTTTCATATATGTCAAACACGCTGAGTAATCAAATAAAAATATACAATATTTGCACGAATTTATCGTTTTTCATGCTTTTGACGTATGTGTTCGTGGATGTGCTTTGTTTTGACGTGAACATGTTGATTGATTATAATCTAACGTGCTTTCCTTAATATGTTTCAGGAAGAATTGGAAGAAAAACGTAGTGTACTCGAAGATCTTGGCTTTGCATAATGAACCACGGCAATGATCATTCCTTTTTGACGCCTGATTTCATCTCGTTTCATTGTATATTAGTACTGCTATCTCTTCTCTCTTTTTATCGTGCAATGATTTTCAAAAACGGAGAATGTCATATGATGATTAATCTTGATTTTAATACAAAGTGCAATAAAAACTCGTTTGTTTTTCGTTGAGTAGATGATCATACGACGTCTATCGACACATCGATTTTCTCATCCATTGAGAATCCTAGGTATCGAAACAAGTTGTGACGATACAGCTGCAGCTGTCGTCGACAGTGAACGAACCATTCTAAGTGAAGCATATCGAACTCAATTGAAATATCATCAACCGTGGGGTGGAATTGTACCAAGTATCGCCAAAAAGCATCATTATGAAAATCTAGTACCAGTCATTGCTGAGGCAATGAAAGATATCGAATGGAATGTGAGTGATTGCGCGCCACAATTGAACATCTCTGTCAAACGAGTCAATACATGTTGCTTTGATTTAGTCTAGACAATTGCCGCGATTGCTACAAGTGTCAAACCAGGTCTGGTGATTTCGTTATGGCAAGGAATAAATTTTACTCGTCAACTTCTCCATAAATATTCCCATCTATCATTTATTCCCATTCACCATATGGAAGCACATGCGCTTACTGTTCGATTAACACACAAGTAAATGACTTATTTGTTGTACGTCTTCAACAAATGTTACTTTTCGTAGTGTTTCTTTCCCGTATATGGTTTTATTGGCCAGCGGTGGCCATTGTATTTTGGGAATTGTGGAAGATGTGGATAAATTCTATCGGTTAGGTGAAACGAAAGATATTGCGCCAGGAGAAGCGCTGGATAAAGTGAGTCTAATGAAGATTTTATGTTGGAAAATGGACTCGTATTTGATCTAGAGTGCTCGAGCGATGAAACTGCACGAACATACACTTGTTCGTGATATGGTTGGTGGAGCAGCAATCGGACGGTTAGCTCGAGATGGTGACGAAAATCGATACCAATTGATCACGCCAAAATATTCTGCTAAAATGAAAGATTGTTCGTTCAGTTTCGGCGGAATGTTATCTCAAATTAATCGAGTTGTCGACAAAGAAGCAATCTATTGTGGTACGTAAATTTCAATCGTATTTATCGTGCCATTCAGAAATGTTTTCTTAGGATCAGCGACTTCCGATGAACAGCAATTGAAAGATTTTGCTGCGTGTGTCCAAGCAAGTGTGGTTCGACATATCGAAACACGTATTCATCGCGCAATACTGTTCTGTGATGCCATTAAAAAACGGCAATGGAAACGCACGCTTGTACATCGAACAAAACTGAAGAACTCTTTTGAATTTATATCTATTTAGGTTCTGTCAGGAGGTGTATCAAGTAATCTGTATCTTCGACAACGTATTCACGATCTTTGCTCTCACTATGGCGTTGAACTTGTTTGTCCACCACCACAATTATGCACTGATAATGGCATTATGATTGCTTGGTGAGCTGTCCTAGCCTCTATTTTTTATCTAAAAATCTCGCTTTCATTCTTATCAAGGAACGGCATCGAACGGTATCAACGGTCTTTGAATGTTCTATCCAAAATGCCTGAAGATCTTGTGCCTGAAGGTCGATCACCCCTTGGACCGGACATTTCCGAACAAGTTCGAACGTGTAATATTGATGTGCCGTTCAATTGGAAAAATCTTCTTGAAAAGAAGCCTCTTTCATCATAAATAAAAGTTCGTTTTCTGTATAATGAACATCTGCATTAGAAAATATTTATTGGTGAATTTAACTAATACAAAAAAGAAACAGGAAAATCAAATACAAGCATCGAGACATTCAAGATGTAAATTTTCAAATACTCCGGACGGTTCAGATCATCTAAATATTGATGTCGATCGATAATTTACCAATTCTATTTATTTGTCTTGAACACGAAAAACCTTCTTCAAGCCTTTTGGCATCATCAGCTGATGATCTTTATTACTTTCATGTAATTGTATATCTTGTATTGCGCAAATGAATAATGTATCAACCGCCATCGAATAGACCGAAAAGAAACACGTCGCAATGATATATGTACCAATTATAATCAATAGCAAAGGTACGAAATAGTAATGCAATTCCGGAACATACTTTTCGGCTTGAGCTATTCGATGCGTGAAGAAAAAGAAAGCAAGAATACCAATACCAGCTGTGACGCATAACTTGCCAAGAAAGATTAAGAAATCACAAACTTTATCGATAACAAGTAGACGAAGAGGATTTGATACGATTAAATGAAATGCACGTCTTGCAGATGTAAAAAATCCTGTACCATAGATCGCAGTGATGATATAAGCATTACGATTGAGAAATTTCAAGAATTTTTCCAAACAAAATAAACAACAACGGCAACAACAGAATAAACATCGAGCAATAGTACCAGTTTTGTCTTTGATTTTCTCTTCAATATATTCTAAAATGCCACGGATCAATTTCACGATTGCAATAACCAAAGCACCAAATGCGATTGTACCAAGATGAAAGATGAGTGCACGAAACAGAGAAGCTAGTAGCGATGAACAGGGAACACCGAATCGTTCACGATCCCAATAATATCGTGCATAGATACCAGCTAAAATATTCATAGTCAATCATTTACTTCGTTTTGCACAAAACTTACCAAGAACTAATTGACTAAATCCAATAACAAAAGCTGTCAACCAAAATAACATAAAAACGGAGAAAACTTGAGGTAGCCACTGATGCTCATTTACAAATATAATGAACGATTTGAAATGAGTACCAGTCCCTAAATCAAAATCAGTCGATTTCCTCAATTTACTTTCAAAATCCAACATACCATTTAATATATTATCCAAATCAACTTGTGGATCATAACCATATTCCCAAAAGACACATTGTCCGTTCGATCCATTGGTATTATTCCATTTCTTCGGATCACAAATCTCGCCTAATTGCACATTTGTTGTATTTGCTAATGTCTCATTATAAACAATACGATAAATAGGTTTTCCTGCTGTAGATAAATAAATAGCCACAACAGCCCAATAAACAAAAATACCAATTTGTAACAAAAATGGAATAAATGGCCAGAAAAGACTGAAAAAGTTATAACCCACCGCTTTTGATGCTTCTTTGAGTATAGCTAAAGCGATTCGTAAACGTTTTAATAAGGCCAAAAAGACGAGAATTGAAATGATGAGTAGAATCGACAATATAATGCCGAGAACCAACCATGTTATTGGTAAACTTCGATAATAATTCGCATCAGCAACAAATTTAAATTCTGTGATGATTTGATTATCATTTTTCTTTCGAAGTTGATCAAATTCGTAAAATGCTAGGCCAGTTACGATTGCCAACATAAAGATAAATAAGAGAATTCCAAGCCAAACAACTGGCTTAGCCAACCAACGCATTACAACAATCCATACAAACTACAAACAACAATATTTTTCTATTTATCAGATGTTTGAATGAACTTACGGAAATAATAGCGGCAAAAGCCAACGCGATTAGAATGTATTTCCATGATGTAGTTAAATCTTCGACAAGAAATGCACCAACTTGTTTTAAATTCAATAAATCAACTAAATACTTCACTCCCTAGAAATGACTTTACACGTACAAACAAAAATCTGTCTCTATTAACAAAACAATATTGATTACTTGTTCTAATTTTGTTCGAGTTAATACTTCTCCATTAGAATCAGTAAGATTTTGACTGACATTGTTATTATTTGGCACCTAAAGGAAAATGATAACTAATTTTTTTCTTATCGAACAGAGAAATCTATTACTAACTTGAATAAAATCATTGACTACATTTTCTAACGTCTCAGGAATACATCGACCAAAGAGTGGTTTACTAGCTAAGACATACGGTGCACATTTGCCGTCTCGTACGAGTTGAACATTATTAGTATTATTCATAGTAACATCATATGTACAAACGCGATAAGTTTGATAATTATTAAATTGATAATAAGCCGATTGACTTGGACATTGTTGAACACATACTTGAGTTGTTGGACATACAAATGGACGGCCTTTTAACATGTTCGATGCGAAATTGAATGATTTTATGCATTTTGTCCAATCGAAAAAGTAAACATAAGGACGATCTGGAAATTTGCCTGATCCACACAGGTTCCCTTGACTGTCAGTCGGATGAAGAAGTTGTTTTGGATCACCTATTGACAATTAATTAACAATTCTATTCGAGAATGTTCATCCTACCTTCTTGAAAGGCAAATATGCTTAGCACAACGAAGAGAAGAATGAATATGAGGAAAATGAAGCAACACGGAATATCTAAAATTTGAACGAACTCGAATTTTCGATCTTCTCATTCGTTTAAGATCATTTCGTCTTACCTGTACATGATCGTCGACGTTCCAAACCTTGCTTTGGTGGTTCATATCGAACTCCACTATCTGGAGCGATATATTTATTCATATCAATCTAAAGGTTTCAAGCAGAACCAATAAGAATTTATATTGACGTTATTCCCTGCATGAGAATCCTAATAATTCAGAAAAGTGGAGCAGAAAATCTCAGAAATACTTTTCATGACGTTTTAACGATAAATTTGAACTTTTTATAATCAGCGACCAATGTCATGAAGAGATTTTGTTTTGTTTTTCATTCAGTAAAATGAGCGGAAATACGACGAGACCTTAACATTCAAACGACCATACAAGACGAGTAAAAATGTAAGAAAAAAAGCAAGGAGAGAACGAGTAAAGTATGTGTGAGTAGCGTAGAAACAGAAGAGGAAAAATTATAATGGGGAAGAAAAAGAAAAAAAAGATTGTCTCGATGTCAATTTCGACAATAAAAATAATCATATTTTATTTTCTTATTTACCAAATATCTTCTCTCTGCTATTCAAATATCAACTAATCTGAACGTTTACTATCAAAACACACGAGACAATATTGATTTTCATTAACAGATCTCGATCTAATAGAATAACCGACCAGAAACTTCTTTTGAAATCATAGAGAACACTAAACAACACAAATGTGTACGATCGCCTTATCATTAACAACAAACAGTATAGAATACGAATGATAATCTCGATGTTAATCATGACCATGGGAAAGAAAATAATAGCAGTTCTTCTTCTTCTTCTTCGTCTCCTCCGTCTTTTGTTTTTATCGACACACAGCCTGTGGAATAGCAGGGGTATGAATAAATAGATACCAAGCGATGTGATGTGCGTCAGCCTATCTGTCTGATGTTTATTGTTCTTCACGTGTATTCAGGCATTATTTATTATACATACCACAACGAAGTGATACCTATGTCAAATGCGAGGAAGACATAAAGAGAAAAGAACCTTAGAACAAAGGCAAATGAAAACAAAACAAAAGTTCGAACTTGTTCAAGTATATTCAAATGAATATGTCTAACAATGATATTGACATTGAATGGTTCAATAGAAGTTGATTAAAACATATGTAAACACATTCGATTCTGTGGTTCACATGTCAAAGACAATGATTTGATATATACTGTTACATTGTATATCGAGATGTCGCGCAGAATCAGTTGCAAATCAAATAAGATCACCCATTGGTCTGTTTTAGGTTCAATGAAGTTATTTTTTTTTAAAATACATTTTATTTTTGTTCTGTTTGTTCTGTTTTTGTCAAAATTCTAGTTATGAAAAATAATGTTTTCGTCATGCTTTCAAGCAATCTGTTACTCGACGAAAATCATCGTTTTTCAAGAGTAACTCGTTTCGATTATTATAAATCTATGTACAACAACATCCGAAAGAAATTTTACGACTTTTTAATAAGCAGAGAAGTACACTGTTCTTCAGTTCTTATCTTTGAGACCGAGTCAAATGTAATGGAAATATTTTATAGCGATATTCAGAGATTATTGAACTCCACAGTTTTACTATATCTCTGTACGATAGATAAAAAATTACTAATGAGATTGACTCGCTTGTATCTTGTATTGGCAAGTCTTATCATGGAATTCAGTATGCTCATCGTTGATTAGTAATAAGAATGTCTTATCTTTCGTTAGTCACATCTCCTATTTCAAAGATGAGCAACATGTGATACATTCGTGAGTTTTCTTTAACCACATGTATTTATTGGTGAGAAGTAATAGTAGCTTTACTGATAACTTTCAATTTAAAGATGAAGAGATTTGGTTTCCTCATCGTAATGATCATGGACGGAAAATATGCAATAGAGAAGATATTTAGCATAACGAAATAGTTGTTTTTATTTATTTATATAGTTTCGAACAGCATTCTCAAATACGTTTATTTATCTTAGAAATGCCTTTTCATGTTCTTTGTCGTGATTTTTTCGCTCCTCCTTTTAATATTTTACTGTCGCCAGATAAAAAACATATCTTCACCATATTCACATGGTTTTAAAAATATTTTCTTTTAGTTATTTGATATGATTAGTTTTTTGAGCGTCAAACAGGAGTTTTTAAAAACCGGATAAAAGAAGAGGAAGTAAGAAATGACACGCCTATTCTGACGGTTAACATTGCACAAAGAACCGTTGTGTGATTTTTTTTTCTGTTTTGTTTATCATTGCATAAAAAAGAAAATAATGTCTGACTATTATATTTGTTGACATAGAATGACAACGACTGCGGAGAACGAGAAAAACATATTTACAATGATTATATATTTCGTTACTTTTTTTTCGTGGGACTTTTTTGCTCTCTCTCTTATTCACCATACTCTAGTGCGCGTTTGATTACTCACGCTTATGACGTGGTATTACATCTTATCTTCATTTCAGATAAAAGACAGACATGGTACTTCTACTTAAATATTGATCGTACAGCAGTTTTCAAATGCCACCACCGCCCCCACCCCCACCGCCACCTCTTCCTCCATCATTCGCTCCACCACCACCTCCAGGTCCGCCGCCACCTCCAGGTCCGCCACCGCCACCAGCAAATCTAGCAGCCGCTCGTCCACCGGCTAGTGGTGGCGAGCGAGCTGGCTTACTCGACGAAATTAGTAAATTCAAAAAAGGCGGTTTGAAACACACGGAAACTGATGATCGAAGTGGTGCGATTCTTGGCAATGTAAAGAAGGATAGTTCTGGTACTGGCAGTAACTCATCAGGAGGTGCTTCAAGTTCTTCTAATACACATGGTCGTGGAGATACTGCAGTAAAGCCGTCTCCAATGGCCGGTGGATTAGTTATACCGTCGGATCCGAGATCGGTTCTAAAAAAGCCTAATGCATCTAGAGATGGAGCACAGAAACCAGCTACCCATAATTATCCAAGTGCGGCACCTTCTTCACCACCAACACAGCAGTCGATTTCCAAACCAACTCCGGCAACTGCAACAACTAATATTGCACCAGTTTCAACCCCACCGCCGCCACCCTCAATTCTACCAGCTTCTGAAAAGCCTTCTACTCCACCTCCTCCACCTCCTCCGTCGTTATTGCAGCATCCAGTTAGACCAATGCATCCGTCGGTGAATTCAGCTGACGTGTTACGAAAGAAAAGTAAAGACTGCTTCGCAAGAAAAAACATCGAATATAAATGTATATGTTACAACTGCATTTTATTTAGACGAAACTGAAACTACGAATAGAAATATCAGTCGTCCGATATCACCGGCTCAACCAGCAACTGCACCAAAAGTGCCACCACCTCGAGATCCTCCACCCCCTCCTCCGTCAACACCACCATCCTCGTTATCCTCACACGGTGCCAATGCGAATGCAATAAAACCAATGTCTCCGTCAAGTAGCTACTACATTCTTTTACTGTTCATTTCTTTCATAGAAACAATTTCGATTACCATTTTTAGATACTACAGCAAGATTCGTTCGCCCCTCTCCTCCGCCACCACCCCCCTCGTCAATTCATAATGACAATAGTCATCAACCAATTGTTCAACTAAATGCAGGTCATGTTGCCAAGTTCACGAATATGATGAGCGCAAATGGTCCTCTATCGTCGCCATCCGTACCACCTCCTCCACCTCGAAATGCAGGGTTTAACAATAATGGCACCGAAACATTACGTCGGCCACCACCGCCACCCCCTCCATCAGCATCTGAAGTCTTTGGCAATGTCCACAACGGACATTCCTCGGACCAACAAAGCGTTGGCGCATTGATGTATGATTACAGTTTTGAAAGACGTTTTCGATTTACTCCGATCGAAAATCTTCCACCACCTGAATCCTGGAAGCCACCAACACACGCGAAATAATGCAAAGGACGAATTTTAATTCAAGAAACCAATGACTTGTATGGTGAAACAGAACAAACATTTATTTCGTACTTTTTCTTTCTGAGGTATATATTAAGAGAGACGATAAATGAGTACAGTGATGATTTTTTTTCAACGGTGTATTAACTACTATTCTTCATTCTATTTTTTTGTCTGCTGTCTTATGTATTGAGTTCTATTTTGATTCTTTTCCTATTCTTATGTGTACAATAACATATACATATGAGATTCTGTGTTCTCGAGATATTTAAAGAAACGGAATTATCTACAATCTGTCTGTTTTATTTCAAATGACAGATTATTTGCGAAAGTTCATTTTTAAGTGGAGAAACGTTTCACCAGGTGCTTCTATTCGTCTTCATCGGCTTGCCAAGAGTCTAACTGTATATGAAGACGTGTTTGTTCGTCAGCCGGAACGTAAATACGCTCAACAGGAACGCGTAATTGATCAAGTTGTTCCTTTGGTAAAACAGCATTTTCATATTGTTTTTGAACAAATGAAGTGATATCGACAATACGAATGATATCACTACCATCAAGGAAACCCTGAACTTTTTTCAAACCCAATTGAATCGCTCGACGTCCGTTGACTGACATGCCATGTGGATGATGATCGGGATCCCATTGTAAACGAATTAAACTCGAACTAGTTTTGTCTTTACTAGATTTCGATTCATCCTGAGGTAAACCTTTATGTTGACTATTCAAAGATTGAGCTAAATAACTATCGAATGCGGATTTGCGCAACCATATGGCCAGTATATGTTCTTGATTTGGTGACGTTGCCCATTGAGATCGATACATCATCCAAAGAAAATTCGTTTTAATCCCTAAACAGAACCAATAATCAAAATCTCATCAATGTCAACTGAAATCTCTTCGCTCTTACACGTCATACGTGTAGTACTGTAATCTGGACATCCGATAAATTGATGGTTTTCACTGGCATATTTCGCTATATTTTCATTATAAGCTTGATAGACAATGATCGATTCATCATCGTAGGATGCTAAGATCCATTTTCCAGGTGCTTGCTCTCTGTTGATTGGCCAGCGACGAACAGCATCAGTGTACAATTCTGTAGCATTTTCATATGTATTCAACCAATCCATTGTACGTACAAATCTTCTCGCAGTCAGAAAAACTTCGAGAGTGCTTATCCAAATCGAAGATGCACGGATTTTATACAGTTTTTATGTTGTCTAATTAGATTGGTTCTTAGTTGCGTAATAACAAATGACTAATCCGTAGGAGTCGTTTACGTATTAATTAGAATTATACAATCCAACATCGTAATTGCTCAATTCACTATTGAAATTTCTTCATCAAAATGAAAACTTCGAAATTATGTTAGCAAAATAGAAATCGTAGTATGCTGTCATCTGTGATGATAGAATGACGAAACATATTTTCGAACAGGATATCCACTGACAATAGTTTTCAACTATAATTTCGAAAGTATATCAGTCCGCATTTCGTTTACGGTTATACAAGAATCCGTTCTTTTCTCGAACATTGTCAGTTCCTGATTGAAAAGAATACAATTAATTTTAAAAGTAAATCTGTCCGATTGTGATGACAATGCTCCTGCATTAATATTCTAGTTCGTCTAAGATATTCTTTGAAAAAGAAAACGACAATAAGAAGACAGTGTCGAGAATAGCGACTTAAAATGGGCAAATATNCGGCATTTTGCGCTTGTTGGATTCAGTTCTTTTCTCTTTCTCCTTCATGGATTAACCGTTGATACCTTCGATCTCTAATTGTTCATCCGACTATTGACTACAACGACGAGACATTCGAACATTCATTAATCAGGGATTTTGATTTTCAAGCAATTGACCTTGTTCTCTACACGAATGGTCAGCCGGAAATCGATCAATTGGCAAAAGGATGTTAAAAAAAAGGGGAGAGAAGGAAGAGAAGAAGAAAAAAAACGACTGAATATATATCTATGTATACGGTCAGCCAATCGGCTCTTCCTCACTTCAATTACACTCGCGTATTTCCCTTTTTTTTTCTCTTCTTCGTTTTCTTCTTGTCACCCACATTTTTCTTTTCTTTTCTCTTTTTCCTTCTGCATCTCTTACAAACATTACATTGACACATTAGAAGTTCTGCGCACATACGCATACCCACACACATATACGACGAGAGTAGAGACTCTATAAATATATTTCAAAACAAAACAACGTTACAAATGATGACATAAAAAGAATGGATCGTATTACATCGTCATATTCACTAATACCATCAACTGAATTGGATGCGAATCCAACTATGGCCGATCTTTGGCAATCCAATAATGCAGCTTATTTATCACAAATACCCACAACTCCCAATAATAATAATCCAATGCAACAAACTTCACCCAATAATCCATCTTTACAATCACTCCCGTCTGCTAATCTTGGTTATGCACGACGATATGCAGCGTCTAAGCCACCATATTCTTGTAAGTCTATCGACTATTGATAAAACGAAGGATAATTGAGTGTATTCATTCTTCTTCTTCAGATATTTCATTAATTACACATGCTATCAATGGCTCACCTGACCGTATGTGTACTTTATCACAAATCTATCAATATATTCAAGATCGTTATGCATACTATCGACAGAACCAACAACGTTGGCAGAATTCTATTCGTCATTCATTATCATTCAATGATTGTTTTATTAAAGTTCCGCGTAGTAGTGAACGTCCTGGAAAAGGTTCATTTTGGACATTACATCCTGATAGTGGAAATATGTTCGAGAATGGTTGTTATTTACGACGACAGAAGCGTTTTAAAGTCAAAGATAAAACGAAAGATCCAAATAAATCAAAAACAACTAAAGATAAAATAGGCAATTTGAATCTAAATAAATCTCATTCGTCATCGTCACCATTATCGGACCATACAATGGGAAGATTAGATTCACCAGGCTCATCACCACGGCAAGCCAGTGCATCGGAATCGTTGACTCTACCTCTACCATCATCCTATTACCATCATCCTCATCATCAATATTCACAAATTCAATCGCAAACCAACTATTCAAATGAAACGATGCCTATGATCAAAACCGAATACCATCATCATCCGACCTCCTCATCGATTTATACACCTCCAAACTACGATCCGAATAACAATGGTCTACAATATTTAACTTCCGAACATAATCCACAATATTTTCATGGAATCGATCAAACAACAACATCGTCGTCGTTTTTACATCAAATTGCTCCACCAGGTACCTTTCGTATTGATGATCTGATAAATGGCCAACCAGATTTCAAAGCGTTCTACTCAACAATGACTGGTCATGAAACAACAAGTAATTATTTGGATACGACAAATCCCAATGCTTACTATTATAATAACAATAACAATAATACTACCAACCCACCATCATCTTAATACATTCTTGTCTATCTTTTCAATCGAACCTAGTCTATTTCTTACTTTTCTTCTACAAAATACAAAACTTTGATCAAAGTCTACGCGGTGTTTCTCTCTTCAATTTCTTAATTTCTTTTGTTTTCTGTCCTCTTACTAAACTTCGTGCGTATGTATGTGTGTATGCGTATGTCAATATATCTACATATATCTCTATAAGCAATTTCTTATTCTCGGCTACAAAAGACATGATTGTCAAAATCTTGATTGATCTTTTTCTTCTTCTTCTCCTTCTGCTTTTTCTCGGTTATCAATTTTCATCAGACAGGTAGCTCCAATATATGCACGTTCAGCAAACAATCAAGAATATGTACGTGCAAGACGGATTAGTCTTTCGCCTTCCTTTCTCTCCCGATGAATATGAACATATGGTTAGAGGAAACAAAAGCAGAAATGAAGAGAATTTTGTTTATGCGATATGTGACATCCGTATGTGAAAGAATATCTC